TGCTACTGCTACTACTACGACCACTAGTACTGCTGCTGCCGCTGCCGCCGCGGCTGCTGCTGAGATTGCGGCCCTTTAGGCACATCCAGGCGGATTCCATTCTGGCGTCCTCTTTTGCAATACAGCATGGACGGGGCAGTTCTCCAGACTGTTGACTACTTTACTGTAAACTCCTTGATGAACTCGCCCCCTTGCATTAACGCCTTAAAGCCAGGCCTTCTACTCTATGCGGTCTACGTCAATTTTTTTCGAAGGTCTCTTGCTCCATCGGAGCCGATTGCAGCTGAGAAGGGGCTTTTGCAGTGTGCCTCTACCGGTGCAAGGCATCTGATAACTCGTGGAGAGCTCTGTAAAGCTCTGGTTCTTCCTCATAGCCTCTACGCAAGATTCACTGTAGTCCACGCTTGAATCAGCTTCGAGATGCGTCGAACGACGCCCACCTCACCCACAGAATCCTTTCGGACCCTCGGCATCCAGCTTTTCGTCGTGATGGCCCTTCGTGTGGTCACTCCTTCAGAAGGGCGCTTTTCGCAAACCCCTTTGGGGATCGGATCCGAAGGCACGAAGACACCCGCGTGTGTGGAGCTGCTTCTGTGGACCTAGGACGTATAGTAATATAGTACTCAGCTTCATCGGATGGACCTTGAGCCTTGAGCGCAGGAGCAGATAGCCGCAGGAGTCTGGAATCTTTCCAGATCGCCGCAAACTGGCCCGGCCCGAGGGGACCGAGGGACAGCCATGGCCATCGCCATCGTTACTTTCAACTCTGGTCCACATTCATGCGGTCCTTTCGGAAAAGGGAAGGCACCTTACGTGCTCGGGCACTGAACGCGCGGATTGTGATCCGGGTGCCCGCTCTTTCCAGGGACGCCCCGGAAAAGCTCTTGAGGGAAAGGTGTTTAAGGATGGGAGATCTGCTACGACCTGCTAAGAGTCGAGGTTGAACAAACAGTCTCTATGGCTGAGTGGCGTCCAAACACGCCCTGCGATTGCTGCGCTGCCGCCACGCTTCGCGGCAAGTACCAACAATCATCTCTAGATTATATACTCTGTACCAGTATTGTTGCTGTCTTCCTGTGCCACGAATGCCGGCAGGCGGCAGCCTGGATTTCTGACGAATTGTGCCAAAAAGCTGGCTGCACATGGCGGTAAACAGCGCACGAATGTGCGGAGCGATCTGCGCAGTCCAGTGTTAAACCTCCGCGCTCCCGTCGGAGAGATCCTGGCGCAGAGGCAGAGGGGGGAGTCGGGCCGAGTCGGTCAGCTCGAGACTCGAGATCTCTCTGGGCCCCTCGCTCGGAGTTCAGCCACCGCCGGCTGCTTCCTCCGAGGAGTTGGAGCCGTCCGGCGAGGCATTAGAGCCGGGCGTCGGTGACGGGATCTGGTTGGGCACCACGGGCACCATGTGCTGCATGTAGAGCACCTCCGCGGCAGCCAAGCAACTCATCCACTTTGAACTCTCAGCACAAACTCAAACATGAAGTTACGGGGCCCCAATCAAGGGGCGACCCCATGGCGGCGCCTCGTCGAAAGAGACTCGCCGCCTGAGCATCGGCTTGGGACGGTCCACCTTAGAGGAGAGGAGTCCGAGTCACTCTATATATATATATATATATATATATGTATGTATATATATATATATGTGTATATTATATTTACATATATATATATATATATTATGTATATAGGGATCCTTGTTCTTTTGAGCCCCCGGCATCCGCCAAGCAGCTGGCGCTCACCTCGGCCCCCAAAATTCTGGGAACCCTAAACGAGCTCGAGTCTAGCAAGAGCTTTAAGAAGGCCCCCCTGAACCCCCAAAAAACCCTAAACCCTAAACCCTAAACCCTAAACCCTAAACCCTAAACCCTATTCACCCAAAGGTACTAAAGAGAGGAACTCGAAACTCTGGGACTCCGGACCCTCCTCTGGAGCTTGCTGGGCGTGGGCCCCTCCTCCTGCCAAGTCATCCAAGTCCTACTTCCAAACCCTAAAACTGGCCCTACAGTAGAGCACCAAATCATTAAGGTGCTGCTGTTGCCATGATGACATGATGTTCAGGATCCCCAAATCGGAGCTCTTGAAAGCGCGACTCCTCGGGAATGCGCGGCTCCACGTTCACCGGCAGTTCCGGCGGCGGGGGCAACGGCCGAGGCTGTGCGGGCGAAGGCAGCGCAGCTTCCGAGTGCTCGGGGCTGCGCTCGCCCTCCCCAACGGGGCCTCCAAAGAAGGGACGGCCACGAAACAAGAAACCGCACGCCTCCTCTTCCTCCCTCCCTCTGCAAGGTCTACCTCGCATCTGCTGCATCTGAAACAAGATGCTCTATGTGGCTAATGCCCATGTCTGCATCCACACTGACCCCTTCGTCTCATGTAGATCGTCTGAGATACGAACACGGAGGCGGGGCCCGGGGGGGGTCCCGCCTAGGACCATCTCGGAGGCTCCGGATCGGAAGGAGTTCCCCGAGCGCACGGAATGACCGGACCTCTCTTCTGGACTGGGAAGCTTAGGAAGTTCTGAGGCCCTAGGCCCTAGAAATCTGGAGAGAAAGCTCAAGGCTTGGGAGTCTCAGGATGAACGGCCGAACAAACAGCTACAAACCCGGCACAAACCCCCCCGCGCAAGTTCAGTGCTCCATCTCGATTCAAGGCGCCCCATGTGGTTTAGCCGCTGCGATCGTGGTCGGGTCGGTGAGGAGCTGTCCAAAATCTCAGCGGAGCTTCCGGCTTTCATGCTGCCACTCCAGTCTATGAACTATAAACCTAGTTTTTCAAGCCCCCGAACCTACGACCCTAAACTTCCCTAAACCCTGGGCCCTGGGCCCTGAACTCCGCTGGGAGGCTGAGGCCTGGGCCCCGGATTCCTGGAATTGGAAGGAGGACGCCACCGCATCGCTCTTTCCGGCCAGCCTAAGAGGGTGACGAGGGCCCTTAATTAACAGGGCCGCTTGAAACCCGAAACTTCGATCTCTGAGCTCCGGGCTGGTGCAGCAGGTCGAATCCCGACTGGTCCCTGCTGAACATCGACACGCCTGGAGAGGCCACGGAGGGCGTCTCTCGTTCTTTCCCCAGGGCTATGGTTTATTGGTTTGACCCTCTTGTCTGTCTCTGCCTCCTTGCCTCTCCCAAGTTGTCTCATCTAAAGTTTTCTACAGTGCAAGATAAAGTGCGAGAAGACGAAACGCAGCCGAAGCCGAGAGCTGTCGAGACGAGGAGCCCATACTGCTTTTGATGCTCTTGGCCCCGACGCTGCTCATGCGGCTTACGCGGCTCATTGAGTGCTCGCCTCAGAGCAGAGAAGGGTCTCACGTCTCGTTGGGAGAGTAAGGCAGGGTTTCACTGGGGAGTGAACTACTGCCCTCAGCTCTGAAGGAACTGATAGCCCCATGTCTCTTCACACACTCACTCTGTAATTCTGGCTATACTTGCTACTGCAACTACTGGCCAACCCCTGCAAGGGAAGGTCTTGGTGGGCATTTCTCTAGCTTTCCTCCTGTCATCGAGGCACAGCGTGGCTCCCCGGAGAGGAGGTCGCTGTCCCCAGGGTAGGGCTGTCCGTTCGAAGGCGTCAACGGCGTCGGAGAGCCTGACAAAAAAAGGCGGCCATTGATGGCCCCGCAAAGGAGAGTACTCTGACACATGACTCCCTACATCTCTGGGGGGTTTCACGTCATATGGAGTTCGTTTACCGTATACTTTTCTGGCTCTTTAAAGGGGTCTCCAAAATTCCTCCTGTGAGCGCCTCCGGCCCGGGCCACTGGGGCTTGCAGCGCTGCGATCGCCGTGGGGGTCAGCGCACGAGGAGACTCCAACTGCAGTCCTCCATGGAATGGGACTTGGAGAAGATCCCCTCCTGAGACTGAGAACCCCTCGGCGCCCCTCTAGACTAGGAGCCCCAGACCGAACTCGTGAAAACCGCGCCCCCCGGCACGGCCAAGATCTGCTCCTGAAGTGCGCGGGCTGCCGATTCCGTTTGCATCTGCCTGGTAGGCACACCCGCTGCAAGTACGGATGGGAAGACACAGCATCACCATCGCTGTGAACACCACCACCACCATCATCATCATCATCCGCCGTCGTGGTGTCACAGCTGCTACAATCACAGACTTGGAAATCGGAACCGTGCAAGCCCATATCTCAACATGAGCTGAAGCACGCGAAACTGCGAGAGGAAGGTAGCAACTCTATGTCATACTCGAAGGTGAATGGCAAAAATCCGATAGGTTCCAAGCTCGCTGTAGACTAGACCTGTGCTATGCAAAAAGCTACCCACAATGCAGAACGTTGTGCTCTCCTCGCTGCATGTTAGCAGAACATCGAACGGTTGACGTGGTCCGAGGCTGTTTCTAAATAATTCTACCTACAGTAAGGTGCCAGAGTCGGCGTACCGAGAATACGATATGCAACTTCATGAAACTCAAAATTCTACCGATGGGAAGTTGCTCAGTGACACGAGGGAAGTGCACCATTCTCAGCCTTGCGTATCACTGTACACTGTCCGGCCTTTAACCTGAACGCCTGCAGGCAAGAACTCACATCGCCTCTGCCGCAGCATTCGCGCTGTCCAGCTGTCCGGTCGTTTTTGCCTTGTGCCGAAGGCTCGAGGTGGGAGGTGGAAGGTGCATCCTTGACTCGGAAAGAACGGCAACGCCCAAGAAAAGATGTAATGGGAGACATCCCCCCTCCTCCTCCCTGCGGACCCACGCTGGCCTTGTTCAACTTCTTCTGAGACGGCACTTGGAGCAGCCGACCCTTGGATCGGAGGCATCGCTGGCTCACAGAGATACACGGAGCCTCTTCACGTTTTGGGGGGGAACCTTGCCTACACACGCATGCAGACACAGGCAGCTAGCACTGTCTTCCGGCTTCATGTCTGGGAGTGCGTGTTCGAGTGTCGGTGTCGAGATTGACTTCGTATCGCTTCAAAGAGTGAAGGCCGCTGATGGCTTATTTGTCAGGAGGCGAGAGTCCCGTGAATTCTGGAGACTGCCGGAAGAGGATGGGAGGTCATTGAAAGCTAGTGGGAGAGACTATACATCAGCACAAGAATCCCAAGTGAAACGGGCAATCCCGGCCCCAATCATGCCGTACTGCCATACTGTACTACGGTAGCATAATAGGCTCTCGGGATTTTGAGACAGATCCTGAAAGCAAGGGCTGCCCCCCTTTTGAGCCCCGAGCTGGACCCGAGGAGTCCTCGTTGCCGAGGGCCTGGAGAAGAACAGAAAGGAGCGAAAGCACTTTAAGACTTACAGGGGGGGTTGGGGGTTTTAAGTTAGGCAATCGAGGATGGAGAAAATTTCGCGGTGTTTTGGGGTTCCGGTTCCGGTGGGGACACTCTCACTTCGGGTGACCCTGGCCAAACCAAAAACCCTTGTACAGCTTCCTGATCGGCGTTCGAACGGCAGATCTCCACCAACGCCCCCAAATTCACGTGCCTTGCGTTCTGGTTGCTCATCAACTCTGTAGCCCACGTACAAGGTGCAGTCTAATTGCACTCCCCCCCCCGCCCACATAGAGAGAGAGAGAGAGATACATATATATATATATATATACACAGGTATATGTATGTATATATATATATATACAAACCCGAAAACCCACAGCAACAAACAGTTGCTGCTTGTTTGCTACGAGTACTCTCTTCCTGCAGACAACAGAGTTCTTGTTTAAGCGAATGTCATACGAATCATCAGAAACCACAATCCCTCCGGTCGGGCCTTTTGAGCATGGTATCCGGGGCATGCGGGGTTCGGGACTCAACCGCTTCCGAGATCTGAAGCCCAGAAAACCAACACCCTCCTCCACTCTCCTTCCACCTTCCGGCTGAGGGGACGGCCGTGACTGACCGCTTGCGCTGAGGCGGGATGCGCACCTGGCTCTCGCGTACTGTTAGTCCCGTCTTTCATGCTTTTCCTTGCCGCGGCTGTTGAGCAATACATACCACTGTCATGAGCCTGATTATGCTGCGACTGTTGCGAACACTTAAACCGACAACAGCAACAACAACGACGGAAGCAAGCACAAGCCATGCAGCTGCCCTCTTTGGACAAAGTTGTTGGTTGTCGTCGTGATTGTCCTGATCGTGCTTCGTCCTTGCCGTCGTCGGCGTTGTTGAGATTATTGTGCTCGTGCTGCCGGCGCCGGTGGCCGCCATTGTAACTACTAGAGTTGTTGTTTCCGCTCTGTCCTGGCAGCGGATGCGACAGCCGCATGCAGCTGCGTCCGGCACCTGGTGTCTCTCTTTTCTTTGCTACGTGGATGCTTTAACTGGGTGCCGTTCCTCCTACTCTTGCTGCAGAGACGACAGCGACGACCAGCAGCAACAACAGGCACAGGGGTGGTACCCCTGACACTTCAGCAGAGAAGGGCTCGGCTCGTATGCTCTCGACGCTTCTGTGCGCCTTCGCGTCGCCGCCTGGCAAACCTCGGGGCTTCCAAATCCGTTCTGGAAAGAGACTCCAGAAGCTTTCGACCCCCCTCTGATGCAAGGGAAAGCCGGGGATCCCTCATGAAAGCATACAGAGCAAACAGTGGCTTCCGCAGTCTCTAGTCTCTGGCAGAACCTCCGAGACCTGCACTGAGGGAGTTCTCCTCGTCCTGGTGCTCCGGCTCCGGCTCCTCCTAGCCATGGCCCCCCATACCCCCGCATCTCTCCCCAAGTTCTCCGGGGCCGCCCGGCCTTCTCCTTCTTCGCGCTCGCGCTCGAGGCCGGTACTTCCCCGGGCTCCTGCTTGGAGTGGCCTCGCACAGGGCACAAAGTCCTTCTACCTCTCAAGCTTGCGCGCGCGCGTCGTCGGTGCGTCGCATCGGTGTGTCCGTGTGTAGATCGATGCAGGCTTTAGAATTACAGGCACGTTTTGCGCTGTGTGACGCCGACATTCCGGCCGCTGCTGCCGCTGGTGTTGTCCTGGCTGTTGTTGGTGATGTTGCTGCTGCTGTTATTGCCGTCCCGTCGCTTTCGTCGGGCATGACGATGCTCACGACGAGGGTTACTCGCATCGCCATTGACTCAGACTCCATTCCCCGGGAAGAAAGGTCCTGACAAAAAGCACGACCCTAAAGCCTAAACCCTAAAGCCTAAAGGCCCTAAAGGCCCTAAAGGCCCTAAAGGCCTTAAACACGGACACTTCCTATTGGAAGAAGAAGCCGCGGAAGCTCCGCAGGGAAATCCGCATCGGAAAGCCGAGGCGGAGACGAGGCGAGTCCGGCTGGTACGAGAGATCCTGCGCTTTATCCGAGAGTCTTTGCTCAACTCGGAGTTGGTTGTTCTTTAAGGATATAGGGTATCAGAGCTTGTTCTTTAAGGATTTAGGGTATCAGAGTTTGTTCTTTAAGGATTTAGGGTATCAGAGTTTGTCCTTTAAGGATTTAGGGTATCAGAGTTTGTTCTCTACGGGTTTATCTTGTATCAGAGTTTGTTCTTTAAGGGTTTACCAGTAGGGTATTGGTTTAGGGTTTGGGATTGTGAGGGGTTTAGGCCGCAAGGCGTTTCGGGGTTGGGGCTTTTTTGCGTGTTCGGAGTGAGGAAGTCTCTCCAAGAGGACGGCGCAGAATCCCACTCTGCTCTGGGCCAGTCCCGGCTGGTCTTGTCGGACTTCCGCTGTTGGTTGACAGGGCTTCCTTCGCCTTAGCATTTCAACGGAAGGGTGGATACAAACAAAAAAGAGTTGATACTCTCGAAACAAAGCTCAGCGTCGCAGTCTGCCTTTTCGAAGGCCCTGACCGTCGCTGCTGAGGTCTTGGCTGGCGTTCTGCTGCAGATCGGCCGCCCCCTTGTCGCCCTCTTTGTCATCCTTGTCGCCCTCCTTCTCGCCATCTTTCTGGCCTTGACCACATGCCGAACTCCACATCCGAAGGTGGGAAACGTTCCGTTCGAGGGCCGGGCGTTTCAGGGGCCGACGGTTCACCACCAGGAGGTCGCCTGAGAGCCCAAAACCGATCGCCGACCGCCCCAAACTGCGAGGAATCTCAGCCAGGCGGCCCTCGTCGTCGTCCAGCACCTGCAGGGCCACTTTGCCGCTTTCCGCTGTCTTTCAACCCAAAAGAGGGGTCGAAGGAGAGCGAGCGTCTCCGAATCTCCGAAGCTCGAAGGAGTGCATCATACATAGACAAGGAAACAGGCCAGAACATCTTGAGCGCGAGCATTGCCGGGCGTCATCACCAACATCATCGCCAGCACCACGCGGGGCGCATTCACGGGAACCCGACCTCTTGGCTCTGCTGCTGAATGAAGATCTCGGCCTGCCAAAGGGACTGCAAGGCGGTTTCCTCACAGGCGAAAGGCAGAGCCGCAAGCTTGGCGTCAGGCCTGTGGATGCATTCCCCCAGAGCTGGACATCCCACATAGATCCAATTTGGCAATACTCCCCCACTAAACTCGCAGACACATCTGCTAAACACAACTCGAGGGGACTCCAGCCGAAGGGAACAACCCTAACAAACGAATATAATTATAAGCTAGATGGGCAAACCTCCAGCCAAAACCACGCACGAAACCAGCGTGGAGAGGCGGAGGCATCCGTCACTCCGCCCCGGCAAACCGCTCGGGATCATCTTGATAAGCGCCACCTCTCCCTTGTTTCTCCACTTTTGGCCCCCGACACTGCGCACGCCACCTACACGAAGCCCTGGTGATCAACCGAAACTTCAGCTTGCACCAAATGGCCTGAACCTTGTTCAAAAAGCATCAGGGCTCAAACAGCATGGGGCCGGGTTCAGGAACTTTTGTGTCGGTGCATAACCACGCATGGTTGCGGCAAATCTGCCGCTTTGCGCTGAAGGGCGTGTCGTGTCTGACTGGGTTGAGTTGCGTCTGCCACATCACGCCAACGTGATTACAAGGCCGTACATTCAAACAGGATTGGTATTAAAGTGCCGCGTTACATGTCAAACAGGCTTGACTCCCACCAAACAGGATTGGGGTAACAAGTGTCACTGTTACAGGATACGGGCGCAGCCATCGCTGACACAGCCATCGTTCATCGAAAGAACAAGTCATGGGCGTTGGCACGTGGCCCAAATCCTGCTGCCAGAGGCAAAGGCCCCTGTTTGATTCTGTACGCTCGGCAGGGAGCCGTGCATGGTCAAGCAACTGTTGCTACTCCACCTTTCCGGGCGTTGCTCGTTGCCACATTTACATCCGGTTAGATGGCAATTCATACAGCATCGCTTCCCCATGATGCATATTGTCCAGTGGCCGAAGATAAGCGGCCAAAGATCGGTAACAAGAAAACTGAAGCTCAGGATCACACGTCGCAGCCAATCTTGATAGCAAGGGGTGGCGGGGAGGGGGTCGACACACTTCACCGCTGCATTTCATCCCCCTGTAGCAAGCTTTTGCCAGGTCGCGTAACAAGAGCCGCCCTCAGAACCCCAAAGTCAAGGTCCATCCACCCAACTTCTCTGATAACAACTGCTTGCGGCCGCCTCGGCCCTCCTCGGCTCCACGGCTTTTCTCCAGCTCACGGCTTAGAGCTTTTCATTGAAAGCTCTAAGCCTCATAGACTTGAAGAGGGAGAGCGAGAGACCCAAAGCTATTGAAGCTTCGGTTGTCTCCCCGTCAATTTCCCACAAAGTGGAACAATGCAGCTTCCTAATCCGCCACAGCTATCCGTGTGAATCCTGGGCCTGTGAGCCTCCGCATCCAAACGCCGTAAGCCTCGTTTCATTGTGCTGACTGCCTGAATCACTGAAGCCGCAATTTAGCAACACTTGTGGTGCCACTGCTTTGGCAACATCCCAACTTGCGTACGAGTGCGAAATAGACTTCAGCCGCTTGCGCACGGTCTTGCTTTGCTGGCCTGATGCCCGGGCCACGAATTTGCACGGTTGTGATTGTTGGCCAGAAAGCTCATCCCTTGGCCGTGGTATTGGTGTTGGGTGCTGAATTCTATGCGAGAGTCTTGTTCGAAAGCACCGGACACGGTAAACGGTGCTTCGCGGTACTCCCCCCCGCTCCAAGGCCCAGAGGCTCGGCCGCTGAGACTGAGGGGAGTTTGGCTCGTTTCAGAACCCAAAACCCTAAACCTGGCGCCCGCGATGTGAGAGAGAGAGAGAGAATGAAAAAAGGCCCGCCTGGCTATGCTTCTGACTCACTACGCCCCACTAAGCCTTTGAAGCTCAACTGCTGCCTGGAGGGCTTCGCTCGCAGAGCAACGCACCTGCGAAGTTCGCTTCGTTCATCGTGGCGGCGACGCTGTTGCTTTGGAGGGTGGTGGGCTTGGGGGCACTGATATCCAGGCTGTGACAGGGCATTCAGGTGCTGGGGCTCAAAGATTTACGGGACTGAAACTGTGCCGAAACTGAGTGAGTATCGTAGGGGGGCTGCCGTTTAATTAATCTTGCCACATCAGGAAGAAACGCCTGACTTTATCTCAGCAACAAAAGTGTGTACCATCCGGGGGGCGAGTTGCAATGTCTTCATCAACCCCTAGATCGTCGTTCCGGCCAGCATCAAGATTCGGACAGTGAGAAGCTTTCTGCTGGTTGTGGTGGCTTCAACACCTGGATTGTCCTATCGTCTCCTCATGACCCATTCGAAAAACTCAGTCCCAAGGCCCTAAGCTGCCGCCCTTCTCCCCTGAACATCCCTGACTCCAACAAAAAGAGGGACTGCGGAAGCTAGCAAGGGCCTCTGGGTTCCGTCGCAGCAAAGTCCTCATAAACTCCACCACCTCTGCCGGGTCCGGAGCGGGCTCGGGGGTCTTTTAAGCGACGTGGGCTGCTTGGGGCTTGGCTCTCCAATGAAGCTTCCGTCCAGAGAAGGAACCAAAAAATTTCAATTGCAAGCCAGGCAAAAGGAAGCACAGTGATGAAGCAACACTGGGACCAGGACGTGGAGGTGATGTTCAGGGTATCAGAGTACCAGCTTCAGCCAGCAGTGGTGGTAGCAGTAGCAGAGCGAGACTACAAGTACAGAGTGCCGGGAAACTGGAACCCCCACTCGGGCAAAATGACGGACACCTTGGCGGTTCTCGATTTCTGGCACTACGCAGGAGTATTCGTCGTCGTCGTCGCCACCGCTGTCGTAGTCGTGGTAGCAGTAGCAAGAAGCGACGCCTAAAGCTCCAACCCTGAAAGAACCCCAGGACGCTACGAGCGACAGGGGCCCATCCGCCTTGAGCCTCTTGACCTGCACTGCGAGGTGTCGGGCCAGCGTCTCGTCCTGGGCCTGCTGACTGCCTGGCACGAAAAAGCGGGCGGGATTCGAATGGGTGCAAGTTTGGCACGGGGGGGAAGGGGGGTCTTTTTTGTTGGAGACCTTAAGAGTTCTGCGCAAAGGCGCGCCTGTCAAGGGATTCGTCAGTGGCTCCTCGCTGGAGGGGGCGATCTTGTGAAAGTCGCTCGAGGAGCCTCGGCGAGTCGAAGCGCTGCTAGCAGCCCCCTCCCAAAGCTGCTCAGCTCATTCCCAGAAGGCATACGTGGGTGGGGGAGAGTGTCGAGGAGAACGTGTCCCGGTCCGGGTCCCGGGCCGGTGGTGTTCGGGCCTTGCAGGCGCCGCCGCATCTCCAGCCGGCCCTGATGAAAGCATCGCTGCACTCCCTTAGCTGCCTTAGTCCTGTCGCCTGCTCAGCTGCGATGCTGCGCTTGAGCTTGCCGGCCAAATTCATGAGCCTAAAGAGAGCGAGAGAGCGAAGCGTGAGAGCCCGCAACTGCACAGAGAGCGCTGTCGTCGCACGGCCGCACGGCCAACAGCGGTCCGGAACTGCTGGGATCCTGGCCTAATGGGCTCCGTCTCCACCTGCAGACCGCCGCCGGGCGCCGGGGGGGAGGGGGGGGACCGCTTTTTGGATCTACATAGGCTAAGCTACGGGCTTTAGGGCAGCTTTAGGGCCCTTTAGGGGTCGACTGCACGAGAGGAGTTGAAGTCGCTGGTGGTAACTGGGTTTTTACTGGAACAGAACTCCATCACTTCCCAAAATCGCACAGAACTATGACTACGACATGCATCTCGAGTCAGGACCTACTGGCCAAATACTGACCACCATCCAACACGATTCCACGTTGCAGGTGCCTGCGACATGTTGAAACGCACTCACACACCGAAGAACACAAACACTCATGCACACCCTCTCCTTCTGTGGAGCCCGTGGGCACTTTGCAGCGTCTGGACGTGTGACATTCTGCCACACATAGGCGCACCGAGCGGTGAATGCGTTCATAAAGCTACTTGTGCCCCTGAACCCTGCTAACTAGCAACTAGTACCAGGATGCAGGGCCAGGATCAGGGAGCACATTTCGCGAGGAAGACTCTGTCCCTTCAGGAATTGAGTCCGTCCATACCGAAAAATTCCATATATGTCTCTTCTAAAAATGAAAAGATGCAACGCTGTCTAAGGCGTCCGTTTGGGATCGCGCCGGTGGTTGTTTCACCGCTATGAACATTCGAATCTTTTAGAATGCTGTCTCGACAAAGCCTTCGTTCTCCAAGGCCAAAGAGGCGACGTCTTCGCAATCTGACAGTTGCCCTGCCATTCCATTCTTCAGCCAATCTGGAAGTGTTTGGCCTTTGATGACGTCTTCAGCATTCCAGCCCCGGCTGTTGCGCAGCTCAGGCCGCGCCCCGGAGGCAAGTAAGGCCGCGGCCACATCGTACTGTCCTGTGAAGAGACAGGCCATCAAAGGCGTAAGCCCATCAAGGTGATACATCATCACCGATATGGGGCTACGGACACCAAGTCGATACCGGAGCACAAAATATTTGCTGGCAACTTGGTAGAAACGTGCAAAATGGGACTCTCTCAGTTGGAAGTTCACGTCTGCTCCATATTCCACCAGTTTCAGCACAAGCTGTGGACTGCATCCCCAGTTCGTGGCAGCAAGACATAGCCCCTTCGACAACACCGCCTTGTCATTCGCCACGTGCAGCTTCAAGAGCTCATCCACCACGTCCATGCTCCCAAAAGCACAAGCAGCTCCAAGTGTGTCGACGCCATAGAACATCTTGGAATTCACGTTGTAGTCTGCCGCGCAGACACGAAGCCATATTGGTGGAAGAAACGCGCCAAAGCAGAGCTGTTGCCCGCAAAGCCTGGGACAAACTCCGGCATTGTGTGCCCAGGAATTCCTCTCATCCAAAGCTGTTGCATGCTGAGGGCCAGCCGGTAGCTTCCGAAATCTTGCTTTCTAAGAAAGTAGCGAATCTTGCGAACTAGGGCTTGCATAAGGACGGGTCCCAGCTTGTTGCGGTCTTCAGGCACTGTGAACTTGCCTTCACCCACGGGCCCACCTGGGAATGAGACAGGTGTTCCCAGCAGCTGGATCCGGGTCTCGGATTGGATCAATATCCACGACGACTGCGTGGACATCTCTCGCACAACCCTCTCAACCCTGCACCAACCCCTTTCTGCCCAGGTCCATGTTCATGTTCATGTTCTCGACGTCAACCTGCGCCGTACCCGAAGGTTGGTAGTTTAGACGCCGCCAGGCAGGTCGGCGTGGCAGAGGCCTCCATCACCCAAAGAGCGGGAGGACCCGCGAGCCGCCAGGCAAAGAGTCAGAGATGACTCGGAAAAGCGTGAAGCCGCCAAGCGTTTCCAGAGGGTGGCCCGCAGTGTGTAGTACAGATTGGACTTCACCATCCAGATCTCGGCAAGCGGCGCAAGGCCGCAATCCAGAGTAATGCCAGATCCCACCAAGGAAAATACAGCCAGCGAAGCCAGTTGCGGGCGGGGGCATTAGGGCGCAGGCGGGCTCAGGAATTAGGGCAAGGCCAAGGCGAGGGCAACAGGGGCTTAGGGAAGGGGAGCGGGTCCCGGCAGCGGCAAGAGGTCTCGCCAGGCAGAGCGTCAGGTGGAGCCCTGCCGAAGCTTCCACTCACCAATGCACTTGCGGAGGAGCTCATGGTAGCGCTCGCACCCGGCATGCTGGGCAAGGAGCGCCCGACCTCCCCATGCTTCGGCCTGCTCAAAGCGAGCAACGGCGGCCGTCCAATCCGGCCTCAGCGGCTCCAAGATGGCTGTGCATTTTGCATCGGCTGCGGCGTTGAGAGCCCGGACCCTGGCGGACAAACTCGGATCCAGGGCTTGCCACGTGGCTTGCTTCTTGCCGTGCGACGGCACCCAAGCTACAACCAAGTCGCGCCTGATCATTCTAGCAACCGCCTGCCAAAAGGACGGGTTGGAGCCAGACCAGTTGTCGGAGGAGAGCCCTCGGCGGAGCCGCAACACCAGGGCCCAGTTGTCAAGGTAAAGGGCGGCCGGCACATCAGCACAGTGAAGGTGACGCAGAAACTGCCAAAGGCCGTCACGCTCAGCCGCGTGCGGTGTCTGGTCAAAGCCAGCGACAAGGCCACCGAAAACGGTCAGGCTGCT